ATGAGGAAAACATATACGAACTCTTCCGAGGTCTCAGTTCCATTCTGGAAGTATGCTGCTCTGTTACCGAAGGTTCGAAGTCGCAGACAGGCGGCACAAACTCCTCATCTTCGTCACTAGAACAGGCGCGGGCAGCACTGAAAATCAGCACATATTACAAAAAATGGATAAAGAAAGTTTAGTTTTTCATCATCGTGAATGCAAGAAATGGACGACGATTTGGAAATATGTACATGATAGCGTCACGTAGTTTTTGCAGTCGCTGCTTTCTTCTACGACAAAGAAGAGCAGTGTGCGACGCGGAATGCGCGCTACCGGGACGATCAAGATTGTTACATGGAGAATCAAACTGATCCCTGCTCGTTTGCCGGGATTCTGATCGTGGAGATGGGTTAGCCTGAACAGCACATGCGCCGTAGCAAATAGTCACATCAAAAGCAAGAAAATAACCTGTTCCTCGAGAAAATCTTCATCACCGCGAAATTCATAATCGTCTTGATTTGACGGCGTAATTAAGGGAAGTAAAAACACATCGTGAAGCGGACGTCTTCGATCTTGTAAAATGCGCCGATAGATAGGATCCTTGTTGAAGCAGGAACTGCAGAAAAAGTAAACAGTAGTTGGTGACACAAGAATTTTAAAAAATTGTAACCTTGTACGATTTTCCTTAAAATCAGCAATGTCAGAAAGAGGATAAGGCTCCTAAAATAAACTTGATTCTCGAAGAATTATCATATAGTAAGATCACCTAAAGCATTCCTCAAATACAACAGATAAGCAAAAAAGGTCTTTCTGATAGGGTTTCACGGAATTGTTAATTTACAAAGTAAATTCTCTAATCAAGTCAGCTCCATGACATTAAACCATCCGGGTAAGATGGTCTTCACAAAACTTCAATTTAATTAATAAATTGATTTTTTTCTTTAAATAACTTCAATTTTATTTAAATGTTGTTAAATAGCTGCCGAGTCTTTGCGTCGAAGGGTGCATTCATGGAACTACTGTGAAAGTCCAATTTGAGAAAAACGTTTTTTTTAATGGACTACGCCAAGGTTTCGCACAAATATATTTTCTATGTGAGAATCTACATACACTAATTAAAATCATCAATGCAGCACGCAGCAGCGACTATGCAGTCATTGTTCTCAAGCATGTATATGATAGGATGGGGATTGGCACACTCCCCTTTACTTCAGAGCAGGAAGCAGGCTTAAGGTATCTTATACTTTAAGAATTAGCTGCTCCCACGTTCTTATGCCCAATGGATCGGCCGATCGAGGGTGCGGCACTGTTGCGTTGTGGCAAAATCGATACCAAACGTTCAGCCTAGTTTCTTGCTACACCGCACTTCGTCCGAGTTAGGCTTGATTTCCTTTAAGCAACGACAAGTTTCGTGAGTCGCAATTTCTGTAACAACTGCGCCGGCGAGGTGTGTAGCTAAAAAGGTAAGAGTCAGCCATATTTATTCGAATTGTATAATAATGAGATTGTGTACAAAGGGCAATTCTAATGTCGTTTGTCTCTTTTGCAACCTTTTCAATAGTCTGCATCTTTTCAAGTCAAACAAGACTGAGATCCTCGATGAAAGATATCGAAACCTTAATGAAAGATATCGAAATAAGTGAAAACGGATTAATAGTATTGGGCTT